AAAAGGTATTTTGACTAGTTAATTAACATTGTAGATCTTGGTAATATACTAAAAAAACGATCTAATGGGACAAAGCTTTAATAAAGAAAAATGAGTAATAAATGATTACAAAAAATAAAATAAGGTGGACTGGTTTTTTTATAAGAACAAAGAGGTATAAAGTTAAAAACCTACGATTGCAGTAGTTTTTTCTTTCTTATTGGCCTTAAAATTTTATAATAGTATCTAGCTAGTATTTCAATGATATCAAGTATATGATATATTGAACTATGTTAAAACTTTTTACTCAAAGTTAGCATAATTTATTTGTACCTAGTACAATGATAACACGCATTTAGTATATTGAATTTCTCTAGATTCTTTTACCTAAAGTTGCACTCAAGGCTTACCTTTTATGTATTTTATTGGCTATATAATACTTTGAAAAGCCTTGCGATAGTGATTTGTTTTCTTAGTAATCATAGCTTTCCCATAAATCATGTTGTTTAAAGTAAATTGCACCTCTAAATCTTGTTGAAAGATATAGTTTTGGTATTGGAAATCTAGTAATGATTTAAAAATTTACTAAAATTGAGGTTCCACAAATGGTTTAGATCGATCATATATATAAATAATTAAAATTTTCAAAAATTGATGGTGTGGATAATATAATACAAGATGCAGCATTTATTAGGACTTGAATTTTTTTTTTCTTTTTTCATATCTATTGATTGTGAGGTGAGATGATAAGTTGTAAGATGTTAAAGAGAAGAAAAAAAAAAGAAAAGATGATCAATTATAAGGTTTTTCATTGTCGGAAGAACTTTTTTTTTTTGGTGGGTTTTAATGGTGCACGTTGTTTTTGACATCTTCAAAATATTTTCCTTGTTTAAATTTCATTTGTTTAATATAAAATTATAATTATTTAACAACATTCGTTCAAAATCATAGAAATGCCCCATTATTTGATGCCTCACGCCCTCAATTCCTATGAAAGAAAAATATAATATTTAGCAGCATGGTCAGAGCAACAATCATGATCATGTGATCACATCCATGCAATTGATGATGAAAGCAAGGAGAGATGTAAAATTCATTAATGGAATGGTCAGGATCTATCCTTCCATTACTTTCTTGTCCATTGATTGGATGACTATATGCATATGCACAGGGGAACATCTAATAAAGGCACCTACAACAGTGCAAATATGTAAAAGAAGAGCCTTACATGGAAGATTAAAATAAGGGCAAGCTTTCTATACTTTCCTTAATACATAAAAATTATATATTTCTCCCTATCCAACCGTTCATTTTGAATGGACGGCTGAGATGACCCTAATCACAATGTCACGCCTCTATATTATTTTATTTTTAATATTTTTTCTACGAAACATGGTGACACCAAAATTTGGGCGTCCACTCCTCTCTTAAACTCACACCTATAAAAAATATTCTCAACAAATAAAATATCTTAAATTCCCCGAAAAGTTTAAAGGTATTTTGGTCATTTTATTTTACCAAAAATATATTTTTTTAGGTGCGCCCCATTGAGATGATGACATATATCAAATTTCATATTTATACAATTGGTAAAAAAAATACAAATAAAATTATCTGAAGCGCCGGATCTCGATCAAACGGTTAGTGACTCAGTTGATCAAAATTAGACGACTGGATGGGGTAAAGTATATATATTCCATGCAATAAGAGAAGTATAGAAACCTTTCCCAAAAAAAATCTGTGTGGCAGTTACCACAAAGGGCCCTAAATTTAATCAATTGTTTATCTTTCTAAAATTTCAAGTGAGACACAGATGTATTCTTTTATCTTTTTTCTTCTTTCTTTGATAGAAATGGAAGTTGGGGCCCACCACTTGAAAGACCAATTATCATCATCATTATCATTATCGTAAGAGCTTTTCAACCATGACGGGTGGGCTAATCCTAATAAGACCAATGTATCTAACAAATAATACAAAGAAGTGGTTAACAAATGTATGCATGGACTATGAAAGGTTATCACAACTTTTAAATATTTAACTAAGGGATTGTATACAATGAGATCATTTATCTTTGATGCAAGGTGGTCACAATTCTTTATAACCATTTGATGTGAAAGTTGATAGGCTGGATGTGTCACAAAGTTTGAGAAAATTTAATTTAAAGTTTAAGCTTGGTCAATGAAATAATTGTAGCCAACCAATTTCACATTCAATGGTCAAGATTAATGTAACCACCTTGTATCAAATGTAAATGACATTACTTATGAAAGTTGTAGCCGTGTTTAAGTTTTTAATGACAAAATTTTAAGTTTTTTTATTGATGACATATGTGACAGTGAAATTTATAGTAATTTCAGCCATCTTGTAAAACAATTTGATCTTTAAATTATTATTAAGAACTCCTTATTTATGGTATTTAATAAATGGTAATATTTTAAAATATTTTTTTTATAGAAAAATAACTGTCAATTTAAATTAGGGAAACTATCATATGAGTCAGGGGATGCATGTGGTCCCTGATCATCCAATTTCCATCTTAAGAAGGATGTTGAGAAAAAGGCACCGAAGTGTAGAGTGGAATTTTTTTTTTTCAAAATAATTTTTAAATTTATTTATTTTCTATATTCAAGATCACAGTGGTGTAGATCATGAAGTATTTAAAAAATTAAATTCAAAGTCCATCTTTAAGATAGATATTAGAGGCTGGGAGGTATGTGCACATGTAAGGCTATGAACTCATAGAAGGGAAAGGTTTCTATATTTTCCCTACAACATAGAAGATCTATGCTTCCCCTACCATCCAGCCGTCCAATTTTGATCAAGATAGCCACTCACCGTTGATTTTAGATCTAACGCCTCAAAGTATTTTATTTTTAGTTTTTTTTTTATACAAATTGAATGAATATGAAATTTGGTATGTGACATCTTCTCATTGGGACGCACCTATAAAAATATTAAAAATAAGTTTTCGATAAAATATAATGATCAAAATACCCCTTAAAACTTTCAGGAGTATTTTGGTCATTTTATTTATTGTAAATATTTTTTAAAATATTTTTCTCTAGTGCAAGTTTAATAAAGGATTGGGCGTCTGAAATTTTGTGTCAAAATAGTTTATAGAAAAAGTTAAAAATAAAATACTGTAGAGACGTGACATTATGCGTGGAGCAATCTTAGCCCTCCATTCAGAATGGACGGTTGGATAAGGGGAAGTACATAAGTTTTATGTTGTAGGGGAAACATAGAAAGCTTGGCCCTCGTAGAAAGCCCATTTTGAAATTTTAATAAGGCAAAAGATATACACTCTTAACAATTTCCCAAAAAAAAAGAAAGAAAAAAAAAAAAAAGGGTAAAACTCACCTAGAATTAATTTTAGGACCCCAAAATTTGGAGATATTATCTTTTCAACTCAATAAAACAAAATCTTAATTGCACCCCTCAATGAGCTTGAAAAAAATAATGTCTTGAGATAGAATTGAGACCATCAAATTCTTAGATTGTGAGATCTAAGTGTTAGAAAACCTCAAATTCAAAATTTTCTTTTGAGAATAATCATCTAGTGCTTTTTAGGTGGTTTTCAAATTTTCATATTTAAAAAGTCCTCTCTCCTAACCTGAAAAAACTATGCTATCGAGGGAGCATACTATACATACTCTTTCAAGAAAGGACTCATACTATGTCCAATTTTATCATGAGTTTGTATACAATGAGACCATTTATCTATGGTACAAGGAGGTCACAATTACTTATAATCCCCAATATGAAATCCGATAGCTTAAGTGTGTTACAAAGTTGGAGAAAATTCATTTTGAATTTTGAGTTTGGTCAACAGAATAAATGCAGCCACCCAATTTCACATCCAATAGTTAAGATTAATTGTGACCACTTTGTACCAAAGGTAAATGGTCTTATAGTATATTTTTCCTTTCATCATACTTTTTAAATTATGATTTCTTATTTATTTTTTTACTAATTTATGCCATGTTAAACTAGTTAGATTTTAATTGATGTAACCAAATACATTTTTATAGGTTTGGTGGTCTCCTTTCAATACAAGGGTGAAATGGATTGAGCTTGTGCCTAGCCAGCCTTGGGTCTAGCATTGCCCTTGTCCCAATAGGGCCAACTCAAGCCCAGCCCTAGCGCTAGCGGTGCCCTCCGGGCACAATTTGTGGCTCATGCCTACTTTTTTAGGGCCAGGCCGGGCGGAGCCACCCTGCCTATTATTTACAGAGTTTTGAATGCAACTTGGGATATGATGAGAGGAGAACTCAGCATTGTAACACCTACACCGATTGTTTTTTTTAAAACTCGAATCCAAATCGAAATCGCTCGTTATGGAACCAAACCAAATCCAAGTCAGAATTAGGAATCGGGGGTCTCGATTTGTTTATTATTATCTCTGACTTTGGAGGATTGATCATAGATCTGGACCGGGTTCCTGGGTGGCCGGTTCACTCGGCCTATCCAAGTTTTAAAACACTGCGTGCAACCTCAACCACCTCTTTTTGGAGCCCAAATGCAATAGCAAAATCCCTAGCCAAGGATCCGGTATCTAACACCTCGCTCAAAATGACAAGCTTATAATTTATTTACAAGGTTTTCATATAAAATTTTGCTCTACTTAATAAGAGTTATACATTAACCTTCAAAGAGAGGGAGGCAACAGAGGACCATAGACAGTAGTTTGGTCCCAAGGGGCTCACCAATGTAAACTGCGCTAAAAAGCACTACCCTTCAACCTAAGATTTGCAATAGCAGCACCGAACTGAAAGTGGTAATGATCCGGATCAATGAAAGGGGATCCAACACCCCGGCCAATCCGTTTTCAAACTATAAATTACACCTTTTCTTAATTGGAAATTTAGGAGGATAACATGTAATTAAAGATAGGCGGGAATAGTTAATTCAAAGTAAGGACTTCATAGGTATTTTAAAATACGACAGGGATTTTTTATGTACTTTCATGCATTTTAAGTTTTCATTTTGAAACTCCCACCGAAACGCCGTTCTCATGAGCTTCGCTTTTCCTGGTTTTATGCCTCAAAGCTTCTCTGTAAAACGCTAAAAATTTAGTCTCTTTCTCACCTTAAATTCAGAGAAGCAGCTTAAAATTTAGTCTCTTTTTCACCTTAAATTCAGATAAAAGCTTCTAAAAAATGGCGTTATTTGGCCGCGAACTGTTACAAATAACGAGGTATGATAAGAAAAATAAGAAAGAAAACCCTATAATGCTTTGGAACTTGTGAGACCAAACCCTAGGTCAACTAAGTGTAAGAGATTTGATTTCTTTAAGCAATTTGGAGGAATTAAAAATTTTCTTTACATATGCAGTGAAACTTCGTTTCTCAGTTCTACCACTCACCTGAAGCTTGAAGGACAAGTTCGAAACCCTAGAAGAAGGCGTAAGGTATGGCTTGAGATCTCCATCTCTCTGCATTTTTTTTATGGTTTTCGTGAAAGTGAAGTACTTATGGCGAAGAAGCAGCATAGCTGGTAAAATGCTGGATTTGCAGTGTTAACTTTAACCTAAGATGTTGTCTGAGAGCATTTTGTCTTGATCTTATGATTTAGTGGAGGATTCATGGAGATTCAGCAGAAGAACCAGTTGAGAAGTTAATGTCGTATGTGTTCTAACCTGATATGTTATGAATAGCATGTGACACATAGTTGCAGAGGTGAATTGAAGCTCAGGATCTTAGTAATTGTGGAATGAGTATGTGTTTAACCTTACAATTTATCTGCTATTTAACAAACAATAGAAGATTTGATGGAGAGTTGGAGTAAAATAAGCTTATTTAGCCTTTAGACGCAGAGTATTTTAACACTATCAATGTATCTAACAAAGTTCTGACAAGTACCTATTTCTACGGTGTTGAATTTACAGAGAGGTACGTCATTATTAATTTTTAGCATAAGAAATCAGAGGCTCTCTTATGGATTTTTTCTCTTGGAAATGTATTGTTAGGGGTAGAAATCACAATGATTCATGAATCTCCTTGCACAATTGCTATTATTTGGAGGGAAAATGGAAGGTTTTATTGATTTATTGACGTAAGAGGACTTATGAAGCTTTTGGCGTGGAAAATGTTTTGATGGAAGAGTTCTGATGTCATGTATATTCAAGAATAATAACAAGTCATTTTGCAAAAGACGAGTGTTTGTAGCATGTGAATAACTTTAGCTGAATCTAGTTTTAAAGGTTGCAGTTAAAAAGATGTTTTGTTTCATATTTAGGATTCTCTAGTATGATACTACCATGTTATTACCATATTATGCTACAATGCAAACTATCTGCGGAAGCGCATCCTTTGCATGAGAAATATTTCCATGGTTCATCAATGCATCAATGATCACTTAATTTTACTCCTTTCCGTTGTCCTTTTAACAGGAAATCATTCTATTCAAGAAATCCAAGTGTGAAAGCTTCTGAAAATTTCAGGTGGTTTGAGAACTGAATCACTCTGTGAAAGCATAGATTATGTGGCCCTGGAAACTCGAAAAACATATTTGTGCTAAAGAATACAGGATTCCTGAGCAATTTATTAATCCTGAAAAAACATGAGGGTGACCTGATTGAAAATTAGGGATTCTTAAGTGTTGGGTGTTTCTTCAAAAGCCTTAATTTGAAACTTCTTGAAAGTTCAGTTTAAGCCAATTAAAAAGTCATCCTAACACAAGAAATGGAGGTGTCCTGCTTTCAGAGATGCAGAATGGCAAAAGTAATGGCCTTTTTTCAGGTCATTTTAGGTGTGCTTGTCATAGTAGTGAGTCTTACCAGTCTCCAAAGGTTTTACCCTGCAGGAAATTTCTTCCATGAAGATGACCAATGCAAGCATTTTAATGGCACAAACGAGGGGGGATATGCTGATTTTGACATGAAATCTCTGTCTGACAGAGTAGATGAAATTCTCCTTAAACTGGCCAATTTGCAAGAAAAACTCGAAACCCAAGTCCAACAAATTGGTAAGAACACTGACAAAGTTGGCCTGAATATTTCAAGAACCCAGTACAGGAAATTCTTAGAAGAAGAGATTATTCAACCTCTATATAGTGCCCATATATCTTTAAGACAGATTCGCATTCCAAAGGTTGCGGGTATCTTTGGGAGAGAAGGACATAAGGAAGACCCTCTGATAAACTTCTTCACAATTGAGGAAATCAGAAAATACGTAACTGCCAAGCCTAACAGATTAGGGAAGGTTAATATTTATGGGGCTCATAAGACTTACAACACGATTGGGCATACCTGTGTATTGATGAGAAAAGAATTGGAAGCATACATGAATTATGACGTCGGGAGTTATTGTAAGGATGATTGGAATGTTGCTCAGAAGCTGATGATTAATGGGTGTGATCCCTTGCCTCGAAGGCGATGCTTGACCAGGGCTTCAAAGTTGTATAAAAAACCCTTACCAATTAATCAGTCACTGTGGCAGATTCCTGATGATAGGAATGTGAGGTGGAGTAATTACCAATGCAAAAGCTTTGAATGTTTAAATAATAGAAACCCCAAAAAAGGTTTTTCCAAGTGCTTGGGTTGTTTCAATCTGGGAAAGGAAAAGGTTAAATGGATAGGAAATACTTCATTAGCAGTGGACTTTCTGATAAGTGAAGTATTGGATATCAAGCCAGGAGAGATAAGGATAGGGCTGGATATTGGGGTTGGTACAGGTACTTTTGCAGCTAGGATGAGGGAGAAAAATGTGACTATCATAACGACTGCTTTAAATCTAGGGGCTCCCTTTAATGAGATCATTGCTCTGAGGGGCTTGGTTCCTCTTTATGTTACATTAAACCAGAGGCTCCCATTCTTTGATAACACGATGGACTTGATTCATACCAGTGGATTCCTTGATGGTTGGATTGACCTACAATTGATGGATTTTATTTTGTTTGATTGGGATCGGGTTCTTAGGCCTGGCGGTTTGCTTTGGATTGATCGGTTCTTCTGCAGCAGGAAAGATCTGGATGATTACATGTATATGTTTCTTCAATTCAGGTACAAGAAACACAAATGGATAATTTCTGTCAAGTCCAAGGAAGAGGTTTATCTCTCAGCCTTGTTAGAGAAACCTCCTAGGTCAATGTGATATGATTTAGTCATATTTACTGCTTCTAATTCAGGCTCTTGAATGGGCTCCTTTTTTGGCTCTTGCTATCCATCATTACTAGTTGTACCATCTTTTTTTTTTCTTTTGATGTTGTCGTACCATCTCTTTTATTGCGGTAATGAAGCTTAAAAGGTTTTGAAAGAATTACGTGGATTATTCTATTTTATCATGAGAGATATGTCAGGTTTTGGAAGAATTATGTGAATTATTATATTTCATCATGAGAGATATGTCTTACATTTTTATCATGAGAGATATGTCCCTACATTTAGTTCTATACTAAGTCAATTTGTCTTTCTTATCACTATTGAATCTTAGAGGTCTTGAAACAAAATTTTGTGGATTATAGTGAGAGGGGCTAATCAGGAGTCTTCTCTTACGAGGACATATAAGCTTTCTGTTTTCTAGTGGTTTTCTTTCACTGAGTACCGTGTTCCAGTTCTGATTCTGAATTAGTGCTTTCCTTAAGAAAAGTAAAATTCATGAAACTGATGTTTTTTGTTTCTCTTCCAAGTTTTGTAGTTTTTACTTTCTCTCTTTATATTAGAACCACTAACTAATCTTACTTGCTTGGTTCTAGAGAGATATTTCTGAAAGTTTTGAGCATGATAGCGTTCTTGGGAATGTCATGGCAACACTGTTTGTATTGCACATTTATGTTTTCAGTGGCCAAAAATTTGTTAGTCAAAGGATGACGTACTATGTTTGCTTTTGGTTTCACTTTTTACTAATGTTAAGTTGGAAGCTTCCCACCAGTGGGTTTTTTTTTATTGGGTTATCCTGCAAAGAAAGACAATTATGTAGTATATGAAATTTTATTATAATATACTCTAAATCTGCATTTGTTCCCATCCAGTAGAGTATTTAAGATATTTGGAAAGGACATTGTGAGAGAAATGGACATTTGTGGGAAAGAAACACATGCCTACATTGCCTTGAATGTGCTGATACTTGGGAGTATTCTTATCATTAGGTCTCTGAAGATTATTTGAGTTGTTTCTTCTGCACCATATTTTAGTACTAATATTTAATGGTTTTTTCCGCCATATATGTTAAAAGATCACATTGGTCTATTAACACTTTTGGTACCCAATTTTCCCAGTTGTTTATCAATGGTTTCGGTTGCATGGTCTTTATTGCCAGGTTAGAAATGTAGGGGATGCTTTGGTCCTTTAAGAAGGGTATTTTTGTACTTGTTCATTAGGATGTTGTCATCACTTACATTTTAAAAGATGGGCACCTTGTCTATAATCTGAAATTTTTTAGCATAACTTTGGGATGATTATTCTTCTGACGCATGAAACTTGTTATTATTCATTGTTTACGATCAGAGGAATGTTCATAGGATTGGATAACAATGCTCATACATGGCTGGATTTTGGGATCTAATAAACACTGTTTCTCTCTTGCCATTTTCAGAGTTGCTGGTGTAGTTCTTGTTGTGCTAACTAGTCATTGATGATTGGAAAGTTATAAACTTCTGATGGTTTTCAGGATTTTGAATAATTTGGTTGAAATTTGCTGAGTCTCAGAAGGAACATGATTCCAGCCTTGGATGACAAATTTGCTGTTAAAATGGATCTCATATGCAGTCTCTTGGGTCATGCCAGTAATTTGATCAAATGCCATTGGAGACATGTTATAGTCATAATCCTTTTATTGGAAGTTGGGTTTTTTTAATATGCAGGTGAACTTGTTCACTTCGGGGAAGTGGGTTGCATTGTGGGCCATGCAGTTGAGTCTACTAGCCTTGTTATTATTAAAAAGTAAATGTCATTTTGGGAGAAGCTCTGGCCATTACCTATGTGCACATAGATGCTTTGGAAGTTGTACATGGTTTATGTATGTGTGCACAGCTATTTGGCTTATGATATAGGGCTAGCAACAAGCAGTATGATATAGGGCTAGTCCATGGCTGGCATTGGGTTCGGCATTGAGGGGTCTAGTCACGTCAGAACTACTTTTATTTGATGATGTTTGGGGCTTGCCTTTTTTGTTTGGTTTGTGAAGTTTTCCTTTTTGTATATGTTTATTATCGAGTAAGAGTGGCAAACCACTTTTTAAACACTTATCAGATACAACCGTGACACTAAAACCCAGCAATTCAACTTTCTCAACTGGCTGTCCTGTAGAAAATCCAAAGTCAAATTTTTTGCTAGCTTGTGCGACATGATTAATGAAAAAATAAATCTAAGGCTTTTCTGAGTACTTACATTGTAAACTGTAATGACCACTTAGTGAGTTATTTGTTAGTTATTTGTTGAGAATTTCTTGCGACTTTCTTGTGAATTTCATTTGTAAACTGTGATATTTGGGGTTCTTATGGATCACGTTTCTTTTTTATTATGACCTTCTGATTTAATTACCGGGGGATTTAGTATTTGATATTTTTATTGTCTTGTTTGTGATTGATGATTATATACCAGATGGAAGTTACTATGGTGTATAAACCTCATTCTAAACAATAAATTGGCGTTTTTTATTTTTTGTGTGCAATGTCGACAATAATTGTTGTTTTATGATTCAATTTATCCAAAGGCATGTGAGTCAGCAAAATATTCATTGCCAGATCTATAACTGTTCTGGAAATATACACTTTGAGGTTTTCCTCATTGAGGCTATCTATTTTGGGAAACAAACAGCCAGAAATATAAATTTTGAGTGTTCCTTACTTGCCTTGTCGTATTAGAGTAACTTAGTTCATAAAGTTTTAATCAGTTATGTGGTCCTTCAGTCTCCACTTTCATCTTTATACTTTTGTTTAGGATAAAACACCAGACTAAGGTCGCATGGTTATAGTGGTTCCTGGAAGTCTAACCAAATTCACTCCTCTCACAATAAAGGAAAGAGGCTGCAGCATTACTGCAAAAACATTGAGAATTTTTTTAAAATACACCTGAGAGATCAAGTATTTAACATTTTACACCTATCTTTTGATTTAATTTCAAAATACCTACTAAAATACACGAGCAATTGACCACGAGTTAGAATAGTTGAACAAGGGTAATCTGTTAAATTGTCGAAAAGTTCCAGTGTGTTTTGATCAATTTCCCAAAAGTATATTATGGGAGGATTGAATGTCAGGCTTGATTTTTGTAAAATATAAACAGCCCTTAATTTTATAGTATTTATATATTTTTTAAAAGGGTGTGAAACCTTCAACAATCAAAATTAGGTGCATCTACAAGTTTTATTACAATATGTAATTGTGGTATAAAAAAATCTTAGGATGGCTATGAGAATCCATTTTATCTCTAATTATAAAATTTTAAACTCCAAAAATCGTTCAAATCAAGTATATATTTATAAACACATGGATATCTTGAGAATAGGTGGTTCAGATAACATGTTGCGTGCTATTTTTGGGACTCAAATTTATTATTATTACTTATCTTCATAGATCTTGATGTTCGAGATAGTCCATTGGAGGTTTTTTTAACATCAAAAAACATTTTCTGATGGATTTGTGAGGTGCAGCTTAGTTCTATGTTTTAGTGTTGCAATCTTATGTGTACACTTTTTCCTTTTTAAAATAAGCCTTTTCCACTTGCAACTACTATCATTTGTATTTTAATCTTATTGCTGTAATTCATGATATGATTAGGTGTCAAAGGAGTCGCAGATGTCCTCTTAGATTCAAAATCTCAAATATCCTTTTTTATTCATTTTGGTATTATTAGTTTTTAGTGAAATTTATAGATAAATCATGTTTTGCCTTTTCTATTTACAAATAGCGTCATATATCATGTTTTTTGAGAACATAAAATGTATTTGAATTTTATCTTTTTTTTTTTTATATGTTGGATTAAGTACAAATTTGGCATATTCATACTTTTCATCATCATACACCTATAAAGATAATTTAAAATAAATAAAATTATAAAATTATAGGGGTAGATCGATAATATTATTTATTTTTAAATTATTTTTGAAATAAATTTTTATGTGGAGATGGTTGGAATTATGCCAAATTAAGCGTAATCCGGTGTATAAAAACTGAGATAAAATTAAAATACACTTTATATTTTTATAAAATATGAAATATATGAGACTATTTTAAATATCAAAATAAAATAGGATTTAATTTATAAATTTCTCCTTTTTTGAACTTTTTAAAGTGGCGGCTGCTGATCGAGAGAAAATAAACAATTACATATAGGTTTGTTGCCTTTTTTTTTTTGTTCTGGTATATTTCCTTTTCAATATAATTTGTTGGCAAAGAAATAATTTCTTCTTCTATTGATATTTCTTTTGTAGTAGTCAAATTTCACTTGTATTTTGTAAATAATTTCTTTATCTATTGATATGTCTTTTGTAATAATCAAATTTCAATTGTATTTTATCAAATTTGGCTTTTTTTTTTTTTTTTTATTAGGAAGAAGTACAGATGCACCGTGACCTGCCTACCCCTTACGCACCCACACGTGTATGAACAGAACCAGACGCCCCCGTGCGCACTAACACGAAGACATGCATGCACACAAGTGGACATCCTATCGTGAATTGATATCTTAATTATAAATTCTCAAATCTCAACAATTATTTTCTGTCAAGTGATATGAGCATGGATGATGTTTTTTTTTTGACAAATATTATCAAATTTTACTGCTTAAAAAGGTTACAAGAGTTCTATCTCATCAGAACATATACGACAACACACAAGGTTCTATCTCATCAGAACATATACGATAACACCCTGAAGATATGGTGGAAAGATATCGTCAAACCACCCACCATATCCAGAATCTGGCACTATATGCTTGCCTTGAACACCACCAAAAAATTTCTAAGTGTTTCATGCGGAAATACCCCCTTTCATGAGACCACCAAACCATTCACAACACAAACAGAGACATACAAATGGGATAGAGCATGTATCTTGTGCTCGTATGGGACCATACTGTGTCTACTCCCTCAGTCAAAAAACCTAGTTAGGAGTATCTTTCCCATATGAAATTTTGGGAATCACCTAAGAAGCACTAGATGATTATTTTCGAAAAAAATAAATAAATAAATTTTGAGTTTTATGATACTTAGATCTTGCCCTTCAAACATTTGATTCTATGCTCAATCTTGATACAATATTTTTTTCTAGTACATCCAGATAGAAGAGGCGATAACCCCAACATTGGGGTACTAAAATTACTCTTATATGTTGAATTTTACCTAGCAAATAGACGGTATACTCCAGCGTTTGATTGATATATCAAAGCCCAATTCTCTAAGGACACGTGGTCTACTCCATTGTGAGCAGAGTTTATCCCTGCTTCCTCGGTCAAAAGATCTATTTGGGAGGATTTTTTCAATTTAAAATTTTGGTAATCACTCAAAAATTACTAGACGACTATTTTTAAAAAAAAATTATAACTTGAATTTTCTAACGCTTAGGCCTGACCATTTAAATATTAGATGGTCTCTACTCAAATATTATTTGTTTAACATGCATATAGGTATAATTAAGCGCTTTTTTTTTTTTTTGAGGTTAATCTATCGGCTGACGAGGTTGCATCCCAAAATTTAGCGTGCTAAAATTATTCGTGAGTGAAGTTTCAGCCGAGGGAATAAATGGACATCCGACTCCCGTGTAAGTAGAGTATGTTTTGGCATTCTATATTTGTGTTGGAGGGCATGGTGCCTCCAAATCCTGAAGTCTGTACCCTAAACTGCAAGACTAAACGACTTTCACAAGGGTGCCATCCCAAAATTCCCCTTCTTTGAAAAGTTAAAATATATCATCCACATCCTGTGTATTAGAGATGGTACAAAGCTAGGGCGTCCTGAGTTCCCTTGAATCTGAAATGGAGGGTGGAGAATCTGTGCCCTAAAACTTGAACAATGCCCCTATCCCATACTAGTGAGACTCAACCATGCTTGAATCCCAAGGTCCCCTTCTAGCAAATGGAAAGGTATCCGATAAACAACTTGTGTATAGTATATGGTACAAAACTTGGGGGAGTGCATTGTTCTCTCAAGTCTCAACCATTGATGGTGGAGAATAATTGTCTCATTAATCTCCAACATCCATCATTGAGAAGTGAGAACCAGCCTTTAGAAAATGGATGATCTGCATTGGAACTGGCCGATTCGAATCAGGAATTGCTCAGGCCTATCCGGATCATGTAAAATATTAGGAATTGGCCGGTTTCCCATGAACTCGCTGGTTTCTTTTGGTTTGTATACCCGTTCTCTGATAGAACAGATCGATTAACCATATGAATCGACTCCACTTTTTTTTTTTTTAAATCATTGAACCTTCCCGTTTGGATTAATTTTTTAATTTTTTTAATTTTCAGTAAGGTAAACCAGATTGCTGATCGACCAAACTAGATCAGAAACATAGAGGGGCGATTTAGATCACCAATTCGTTTTTTAAAACTTTGTTGCGAATGGATGGTGCTGGCTT